GCTATGACACATCATGCCTTCGCATTCGACGAGGAGCTTCAGCGACACTTCATCCGGGCATATCAGTCTGATCCGGACTTCGGCACGCTCTATGCACAGCTATCTTCGGATCACCCGCCGGCCAGCCATTACCGCATTGCACGACGGGTACTTGCTCCTCCACTCGAGAGGCAAGGACTTACTATGTGTCCCACGCGACCGTCGTCTTCGAACTCGCCTCCTCGGCGAGTACCATGATTGACGACTCGTCGGCCATTTCGGAGTCAACCGCACTATTGCACGACTTCGACAGCGATTCCGATGGCCCGACCTCATTACCGATGTCACTCGGTATTGCGACTCTTGCGAAGTTTGCCGACGCAGCAAGCCCCGCAACCGCAATCCCTACGGCGAGTTACACCCGATGCCTATCCCACGGTAACCCGATCTCTCCATTGCCATGGACGTCACCGGTCCGTTTCCTCGCGACCGGCTCGGGCACGACGACATCCTCACGGTTGTAGACCGATTGAGTAAGTACGCGCGTTTTCTCCCTTGCAAGTACTACTCCACGGCTCCTGAGCTAGCACGCCTCCTGCACACTGGTTGGATTTGTGGCCACGGTGTACCAGAAGACATTGTCAGCGACCGCGACACTCGTTTCATGTCGGCGTTTTGGACTGCTCTCATGCAGGAGTCCGGCACAACAATGAAACCAAGTTCGGCTCGACACCCTCAGACAGACGGGCAGACGGAGCGGGCACATCAGACCGCTCAAATGATGCTTCGTACGCTAATCCGTCCGGACCAGAAAGATTGGGTTGACCGCCTCCCCGACATCGAGTTCGCCTACAACACTTCGGTGCATCCGGCGATCGGCGTGACTCCATTCGAGTTGCACCACGGTGGACGGAAAGGCCGGATCTTCGCCGACCTTCTCCTCCCTCGACCAGCCGACATTGACGCTGCCTGCTCTCCCTCTTCCGTCCGGAAGTACAGGGAATTGCCGACTCAAGCCCGCGCAAATATGCAAAATGCTCAAGTCCGCATGCAGCAGCAAGCCAACAGGCGTTGCGTACCATGTCCCATCCGCGCCGGTGATCTGGTTTGGGTCTCCGCGGAAGAGTTTGCACTGGAACCGGATGTTTCACGCAAACTGCTTCCCATGTGGTTTGGACCTTGGTCTATGACAGCAGCCGCGGGCGATGAGCCCGATGGCCCTTCATTTGTGATCAACATTCCAGAGCATCTGACGGTCCATCCGGTCTTCCACGCCTCGAAGCTGGCAACTTACACGCCAGCCAAGAGCGACGAMTTTCCGGACCGACGATCGCAGGACCCTCCTTCTATGGATGGCCATCAGGAAGTTGACCGCGTCATCTCCGATCGCAAGTACGGCAGCAAGCCGCAGTAGTATAAAGTCACATTCAAAGCATGCAATCACGACGACACTCGGTGGATATCAGGCGCAGATTTGAAAGCATCCGCACCGCTGATCTACGCGCATTATGAAAAGCGCAGGTTAGCTCAGGAAGCTTCACGACCAGCCCCTCCCACCCGGACTGTGGTCCCTCCCTCAGATAGACAGCTTCGCCCTCGCAGGTAAGCTCGGTTCTTCAAGGTGGGGGGGGGCGGGGCATACTGCGTAGCCACACGGGCCCTGCAGGGCCCGTCCCGGACATTCAGCCTAAAAGCCTAAAACTTAGGGCTTACAGGCCCCGTTCGTTTCAGCCTGGATGCTGAAAAACGAGGGCCTGCAGGCCCTGCCTCGTTTCAGCCTATTTCTGGGTCTTTTCAGACCCAGAGTTCTCAGCCTGAAACGGAGGGCCATTTTCAGGCCCTCATTGTTTCGACCTGCYCCTAAGACTCAGGCACGGAAACAGGGATGCGGAACAGGCCCAAAATAGCCTGTTCCTCACGTACTCGAGCAGGAGCTGCAGCTGCAGCCCCTGCCTCCCTTCGGCAGGCTCAAGAGGCACACCCATAGTACATAGGAGGTTCCCATGCACTTCACGAGAGGTAGTGTCAGTAGGCAGAGGTTGTCTTCAGGTTTCGGCCGCAGCACTCAGGAGGAGCGCTGCAGTAGTCATCAGCGCTTGGCAGTAGTGGTAGCGCTAGCTGTAGTCTTCGGCGCTGGGCGCCATAGCTGTAGCTGTAGTCTTCAGCGCTGGGCRCTGGTAGGTAGTAGATCGTAGAGTGGGAGAGAGACTGGCGGAGGCCAGTGCTACTTACCTGTGGCGCCATCGCTCCAGCTCCATCTTCGTGGTACCTGCATCAAGGTGCCAACTTCACAGGTTAGTACTGGACACAGAGAGAGAGAGAGTTCTTCTTCTTCCTCTTCTAAGTCCACCTTCTCTTCTCACCCTCTCGCCACCTGACTTCTCGGACTACGACAGAGAGAGACAAAGTTGTGACTTGAGACTTGATGACATTGGATCCAGACTTGACATTTGGGATTCAGACAGTTCGACGAGGGACTATTTGGGCTTGTGCCGAAGACTTGGTGTTGACGACATTCCCATCTTCCCCCTCCTCTTCGTCTATCCCCTTCCTCCTCGTCTGTGCATGTTCTGGGCCGGCGCTGTCTTCCTGTGTGAAGCGCCAGACCCATTCACACTATGAAACGATGATGATGATGTATGTTCAGGGCTGCATTACAACATTGATTGTTCGGATCACTGGTATCTAAGTCTTCCGCTGTGCTATCTTATACTTTGTATTGAAAGGTCGGTTCTTGTTCTGGTCTGCACCTATACGGTATGCAACAATCAAGCTGCATTTGTCAAGGGGAGATCAATTTTCAATAACATTGTAACAGCAATTCAGGCATTGGAGGTCATAGCGAACGAAACCGGCGATACAATGGTCCTCCTCCTTGACTTAGAAAAAGCATACAATCGAGTCAACTGGTCGTATGTGCTCCCCACACTGAAATGGCTGAACTTTAGAGAGAATCTTTGCTCATGGGTCACTGCCTTGTATGTCCACTCTACCGCCGCTGTTATGGTCAATGGTCAGATCTCGAATACTTTCCCCCTGACTCGTTCATTAAGACAGGGTTGTCCGCTGGCTCCGCTGCTTTTTGTGTCACAGCTCGAAGTCTTGTTGAACAACATCAGAGCCAACCCAAAAATCGAAGGTCTTCTGGTAGGGGTCACAGACTGCAAAGCCAAAGCCTTAGCAGATGATCTGCTGGCTATCTCCAGGAACTCTCCTGAGTCCCTGGGCGCTCTTAAAGCCTGCCTTGATGAGTACTCCGCACTCTCGAAGGCGTCTGTCAACTGGCACAAATCAGCCTTTCTTTTGCCACAACAGCACACCGCGACAGTCCACTCGGGTATGAAGAGAATAAATTGGAATGAGTCAGAGAGGTTTTTAGGGGTACAGATTGCCCTCCTTGATTGCGCAGCCGATCAGGATGGCCTACTCCTTCAAAAGGTCCTTCACAGACTATCAACTTAGGGAAAGGCCCCCCATCTCTCCATCTTCGGTAGAGCTCTAGTTCTGAATGCTTCGCTGTTCGCACTTCTTTGGTTCGTGGGCACAGTAAGGAGACTTGGCCAGCAACTTCTCCCAGCGGTGAAAAGACACTCTGTTAAATTTTTATGGAAACCCTTTGCTGAAGAGCAGGAAACCTTTATATCCAAGATTGCCTGGGAACTAATCTGTACTTCATGCCAAGAGGGAGGGCTAGGCTTGACTGATCCGGACAGACAGAAAGCAGCAATGCTCATTAGATGGATAGTGGGCGCTATGGACTCAGAAAGGTCTGACCATTGGATCCTATTAGGAGAACATATTTTGATGAAGGAGTGAAACCTATCTAGACCTCAGGACGTCTGGACAGCTCTGATGATGTATTCATATCAAAGAAGAGCAATCAAGTCCCCATTTTGGGCACCGATCATTAAAGCCTGGCGCAGACTCAGGCCAGATACATGGGAGCAACCGGTTACGAAGCAGGAGGTTTTGAACGAGCCGATTTTCGAGAATCCTCACATTCGTGACTCCTCAGAGCAGTGGCTGAAGGCAGATACGTCACCAGGCAGCTTCGGCAGAACATGGATGGAAAGAGGCGTGGTAACAATAAGAGATTTATGGGATCCCCTTACAAATGGCTGGCGCTCAAATGAAGAACTGAGAGCTACACTGGGAGTAATTAGACAGTTGGAGGAAAAAAGAGAGCAGATCATCACAGCAATTCCGGAAGGATGGAAAAGCCTCCTGGACCCAGCTTCTCTGGATCCACCGGGTACCTGGTACTGCACAGTCGAAGACGGAGAGACAAACGAACTCTGGAGACTAATGGAGCACACCGAGAACAAGAGAACCTTTTAATGCTGAAGGAAACAGGGAGAATCCGCCCCGTTGATGCTCGAAGAAGGAAGAACTCATCCGGAGTTGGGCTTACCTCTGACACAGATTAGAGTTGTGGAAGAAGAGACTGCGGGGGATACAACCCAGTATAAGGTCTATGCACATGGTCAGGCGGTATCCTCACTGAAACTTGATCCAGCCCTTTGGACGTGGAGAGCGAGAGGAAAGAATGGCCAAAACTTACAGCTCGTACAATATGCAACGCAAGTGGGCTACCAAATCCTTGCACCACCACGCCAACCGGTAGCAGTGGCAGTCAGCAGGTGGTCACAGGTACTGCAACTCCAACCGGAAGTAATCAGGAAGGCTGTCATCAGATGCTGGGAACAACTCAAGCTACTCCCTGATCAAAGATATGCAGCATTACAATGGCTACTATCCCTCCTCTCTACTCCTTCAGCAGTTTGGCTGGCTCAAAGAGGGATTCAAGTAGATCTCACACGTCAGCGCTGTAGTTGGGCTTTTGAATCCACACCACATCTGTGGTGTGATTGCCCGGCATCTGATCGCATATGGAAGTGGTGGAACGAGTTCTGGATCAAAATTTCAGGTACAGTCTTTCCATTGACCAGGGAATGGATTCTTCTGGGAGGAGTACCAGACTCACACCAGCTGTCCATTGGCTGGGGCTATGCAGCACAGACTGCTAGGGCTGCAGGTATGCAGGTGATTTGGTCCGAGAGGAATAATATAGTCTTCAACCATAAGGAGTTAACTAACAAGGAGATTTGTCTCCTTTTCTGGACTCACCTGAGAAGAGCAATCCGGCAGACTGGAGAAGGAAAAGATGTAAAACGGAAGGCCCAGGACGGCAGTGGTTTGCTAAAACTTGGTGCATTGGGAAGGGATTCGCTTCCATCTCAGAGAATGGCAAGTTGGTCTTGTATCAGTGGTTCTTTAGTAAGTAGGTGAACGTCATACCAGGGCACTCGGTTAGTATGCCGCAGTGGGCAGGCAAATGATCTGAAAACCCATACAGGGGTACAGATGGAGGTTGGAGTGTCAGTAGATTAGGAGAGTTCCCAGTTGGGACCCCACCGCCGCTCTCTATTGGCGGGAAATAGATAGAGGTTACAGTAGGGAGAAAGAGTAGGAATTAATGGGTAGATAGAGCCCTGTTTGGACTGTTGGCCTCGAGTGGGATCTCAGGGGGGCCAACATCTCCTATAGTGTTAGTGGGGGCCTTTGGATTGAATTGTTGGGGAAGTTAAGCCTTGTGGGAGTTTTGTTGAAGTTTTAATTTTAGGCCTTGGGTTTTTGTTTCCCCCCCCCCCTTTTTTTTTTTTTTTTTTTTTTTTTTTTTTTTTTTTTTTTTTTTTTTTTTTTTTTTTTTTTTGCTGGATTGTTTAGGCTTTGTAGGCCTTGTGGACTTTTTGTTTCTTTCAGGGTTGAGGCACTGTCAGAGCAGTGATCCCGTATTGGCCAATTCTGTCTCAGGACGAAAGCCCAATGCCTATGTCATCAGGGCAATGGCCCCAGGATCGTGTCATTCCGGGTAGAATTGTGGGTCCCCGGCCCGAACTTTTGTTGAGCAATAAAGTGATATTTCAATTTAAAAAAAAAAAAAAAAAATCCCTGCACTCGGGCCGCGAGACTTCCGGTTGCTATAGCGCTACGATGTGTTAGGTCCGACAGCGCTAAGCACTGTGGGAACAGGCGCAACGCTAGGGCCCTCGCCGCCCGAAGTCTCTAGGCCGGGGCGAACACGACGGTTGGCGTTTCGACACTCTAAGCCCGTGTCTGCAGGTAGAGCTGCTATGGCCATTCCCGTGAGTCACCGCCATGATGACCACGGGAAGCATAGCCTTCGTGTTCGGTAATTTCCGAGCTGGCTTGGTGAAGTACGTAGGCAGTTGGTCAACCCCCGTAGTGTGAACTCCATGTGTTTGACGCTCATGTGAAGAAGTAATAGGGTGTGATAGGTTTAACTGGTAACAGTGGGCGCGCGCCGGGAGGCGCTCGCCGTTGATATGTCTGTCACGTTCGTCGCGTGGAAGCCTGAATCAGCGAATAAGGAAGCCGCTTCCAGGGAGCCTGGCTCTTCAGCATGGCAGGTCAAGGCAGAGCATCGGGAGGACCTTCAAGTAGAGGACGCTCCCCACCAGGACACTCTGATATCCCGATTGCGGATGAAGACCGGCTGCGTCTGCTCATCTCGAAGTGTTACGATGACGGAATATTGCCGGAGAAATTCAAACATGACGAGTGGAAAGTGGAAGCGGGAGTCAATACGTTTGTTGTCACTCCGCGTCTTGATGAATTGACTACCTCGTGGTTGAGGGAAAGGACCGTCACTGTAATCTTTCAAGGCGCAGCAAGAGATCTTCCGATGAAAGTGAGGGAAGATTTGATCAGGGCTTACGAAAATGGATGGTATAGACAACGAATCTTTGACTGCAACATCAAAAGAGGTAGGGTGCACGCCGAAGGTCCTAATGTGGTCTCCTACGTGGCCAAATCAAGGGAGGCCGCCCAATGGATGATCGCAAAAGCAGAGGACGGTGTGGTGATCAGAGGAGTGGAGTACGGCATGCTGTTTAAACCGTGGCTTACGAGGATAGAATTGGAGGAGAGAAAGCGTCGGGAAGATGAGACAAAGTTTTGGGTGATGGCGATCCGAGTCCCTCTACGGGCGATGTTCCATGTGGAGAGCATGGTTGAGACCTCCATGGGTCACGTGATCAATAGCTTACCTCCGGAGCAAGATAAGACGAGACTGAAGCTGATGAACCTAAAATTTGAATTAGTCAAAGAGGCGGAGGACAATTTCGAGGCTGAGTTACTGATTCGCCTCGGTAGGGAGGTGTTGCAGATTAAATTCGTTTGCAAACACACTCCCTGGTGTACTCGCTGCCGATGGTGGTATCATACAGCGGACAAAGGTCGCCCGAGAGCAGACGAAGAAGAAGCTGAAGGTGTCAGCGGATCAAGATGAGGGGACGTTTCCTCGACCGAAATCAGAGGCCGCTGGACGACTGACATATCAGAACAGCGTCAAGGGAATTCTTACCCGCAGAGGAAGTCCGCCCACAAGCAGCAACCTGAGGAGGAGGCATTGGGAGAATACAGGACGTGAGACTCCAAGCTGGATCGCAGAGCGGTGCTCGAAGCAGTCGTCTGACCACGTCCTAGGGCGCAAGAGCAATTGGACTGGCAGGTCAAGATCCGGCCAGAGGAGGAACTGCGAGGGAAATCGCAAGACCGCTCGGTCCTAGACCGGATTCTGCTCAGCAACAAGGTCTACCTCCTGGCCTACCGCCTCAGATGTTCAATGGAGGTTATCAACCTTACCTAGCACCGTGGGGATCGATGGACTGGCAAGGGATGGGATTTCAAACGTATAATCCAGCCATGGCAATGGGTCAAATGCAATATCAGAACGCCTACGGTTCGGTCAAGGGGTGAACTACGTCGCTCACGGAGCGGGTGGGAGCGAAGCAGTTTCGAAAAGCAGAGGCAGATAGAGGCAAGGTGGCTATTCAAGAAGGGAGGAAGAACAGGTGTCGCCACAAGCTCGCGTGGTGACGCTGATAGAGGAGAGAGATGGTTCAAATGAGAATCCTTTGCCTTCCCCCCAAGGCTCAGCTCAGGCTGCTTCTGAAATGAAAGATTCTCCAGGTCCAATTCCGGATGGTGTCGACACGGCCGGAAGAGAAGGCCACCCTTTCGAAGAAAGCATCCTCCTACCGCTAGTATGTACCATGCGGGATTAAGCGGTGCATGTAATCGCTCTGATGGACCGGGAATATAACTTGGTCCTCCCAACATTAGGACTGTCGGAGATACCAATGCAATCGGCGATAAGTGATCAAGTTAAATATTTGTTTGCCGACCGTTTCGAATTCAGAATTTCCCCGGAATTTCATGTGCCCAAACTGAGGGTAGATTTAGAAGACGGGAAGACGGTTAGGTATACGATAGTAATTATCGATGCCAGACTCTCTCTGGAAGCCTGGAAGGGTTTGAGGAACGTAGGATTGGACACCTTTCCGCTGGATGCACTGACCCAATCTTCAATCGATCTCCTGGACGAAGTGGTAGTAGAACCAGGGGTCTCAGCTTCCTTTTTGGCTGATGTGAACCCGAATATGCCAAGATCAAGTAATCTATTATCCAATACCTTTTTAGAATGCCTCACGTTAGAATGGGCAACTCTTGCGCCAAGTGGTGGTCCAGGTATGGCGCATAGCACGAACCCGTCGACTGCAGGAATCCAATCTGCTCAAACATCGGCCACAATTAATGGGTAAAATCCAGATTACCACCTAGAATGTGCAAGGGTTGGGCGACACGAGTGACAGGAGAAAAGGTTCCAGGCTCAAAAGTTGGATACACAGGAAAAACATTGATGTCCTCCTGATTCAGGAGATCAAACTCTTGGAATCAAAATTTTCACAGTTGAAGGACTGGCGGGACGGTCCATAGTTGTGGTCCCCAGCCAGGGAGACGAGAGGAGGTGTTGCCATCCTTATACATAAAAGACTTGATGCTGACCTTGTTGACTTCGATTGTGATGTATGGGGACGTTGGTGTTGGGCGAAGTTGGCCATCGGTGTTGAGGATTGGGTATTTGCCACTGCGTATGCTCCTAACAAGCCTGGGGAGAGATTCAGATTCTTTGAGATGCTGACTTTTGTATTACCCTGATCCAATCACATGGTAATAGCCGGGGATTGGAATGTGGTCTGCAAACCGGGGTTGGACTCAGATCAGGATGGGGGACTGACGTCGGACCAAGCGAAATTGCTGAAATGGATGGAGAAGTGGGACCTGCATGATGCTTTTAGAGACCTCTACCCCACGGAGCAATCATTCACATGGATAGGCCGATCACCTCAGCTTGCTGGAGTCAGCCGCCGAATTGATTTTTTCCTGGTCTCGGAGGATTTGAAAAGCAATGTGTTGCAGGTATTGACTGATAATTTTCCAATCTCGGACCACAAGGCGGTGAAGATGACATGTACAACGGCCTCAACTGCAAAAAGAGGTCCAGGTTACTTTCGGTTGAACACCGAGCTCCTGAACGACGAAGGGATTGTGGGTTGGATCACCAAATTTTGGCAGGACTGGCAGCAACTTAAACCTCATAGTGAATCGGTGGCGGAATGGGTGGACACGGGACTGAGAGTTATCTCATTGAAATTGAACTCTTTCTCGCAAATCGCAGCGTTCCAACGGAATAAGGAGGAGGCTGATTTAAAAGCCAGAGTGTAGGAAGTTGAGAGCATGATGGGGAAGCATCCTGTTTCGGACCTAGTTTGGGCGGAGAAGCGTAAGGAAAGGCTTCAAGAGTGGGATAGGTGGCAGATCCGGAAGCAAGAGAAGTGGTTCAAGATCCTGTAGACTAAAGGCATCATCACCTCAGATCGCGTGACCAAGGAAACTTTTAGAAGATTGCTTCCGAAGAACAAATCAGTCCAGATGAGGGAACTGAGGCACCCGCACCAGTTGGGGAGGCCAGTGGCATTCACTAACGAGGAAATGTGCAGTTACGCTGCGAATTATTATCAAGATATTATGACGACAAGACGACCGTTCGACAATGTGGACGACAACATGGCAGAAGGCTCGACATTGTGGAATAATATGACCGTACGTGTTTCAGAAGATGCAAGGGCTAGGCTAGACAGGCCAGTTACGAAAGAGGAATTTGCCGCAACATTACACAGTATGTCTCGGGGAAAGGCGCCGGGAGATGATGGGTTGCCTGTGGAATTTTTTGAAAGTCGTGGGAAAGGGCTGTAGAGGGACTTGGTAGAGATGTACAATGCTATACCGATAGGAGGAAGGTTGGGAAAGACGATGACAAAAGGCATAATCTCATTACTCTTCAAGAAGGGGGACGCGATGAGGTTCGAAACTGGCGCTCGATCTCCTTGCTTAATGTTGTCTACAAGATTTTGGCCAAGACATTGGCCAATAGGCTTGCAAATTACCTGCCCAGCATAGTACATCGAGACCAGGGGGCTTTTGTGCGAGGTCGGACTATCTTCGAGAATGTGGCGACTTTGGAACTGATCGAGAAACAGGAAAGCAACACTGCAGTTCTGCTGCTGGACCTTGAAAAAGCCTACGACAGGGTGAATTGGACATTCGTCCTAACCACCTTGCGCTGGCTGGGTTTTGGGGATGCATTCTGTCAGTGGGTAAAAACGTTGTATGCCTTCTCCTCTGTAGCACTCTGTGTAAACGGGAAAGTATCGGAAGAGTTTCAACTCAGCCGTTCATTGCGCCAAGGTTGCCCCTTGGCTCCGCTGTTGTTCGTCCTTCACCTCGAGCCGCTCCTTTGCAACATACGTAAACACCCGGAGATTGTTGGTCTGTGCTTACCAGGTGAAAGAGAGAGTCGGGTGAAAGTCCTAGCGGACGACATTTTTGCCATCTCAGCCAACGATGCTTGCTCCCTATCTGCTCTGAAGAAATGTTTAATAGATTTTGCTGAGCTGTCGGAAGCCGCGGTGAACTGGAACAAGTCGGTGTTCTTCCTCCCTAAACATTGTCCAATGGTGGTATAGTGGGGGATGACGCGAGTTGAAGCCGACACTACAAAACGTTTTTTGGGGGTACAGGTGGCGCTGGGTGATTGCACCTCCTCTCAGGAAGTAATCCTGCAGGGAAAAGCTCAACGCCTGTCCCTCATTGGGAGGGCGTTGGCCATCACAGTCTCTGCATTTGCCCTCCTGTGGTACGTGGCAGCGGTCAAAAGAATCAGCCCCCCTACACTTAGATCAGTGAAGAGAGCGGCCAGAAAGTTTATATGGAAACCAGAAGGGGATCCGGAGCGGGGGTTTATTCCCAAAGTGGCATGGGAAACCATCTGCACTCCGAGAGAGGAAGGAGGTTTGTCGTTGATCGACCCTGCAGCGCAAAACACAGCTCTGTTAGCCAAGTGGGTGATCCGGGCAGGTACGGCTGAAGAGCAAGCAAATTGGATGTTGATGGCAGAAGCTCTGCTGGCGAGTGACTGGAAGCTGTCTCGGCCATCGGACGTCTGGATTGCAATTATGACGGACACATATGCCCGTAAGCGTCCGAGCTCACGCCTTTGGAGTGGGGTATTGCAGGCGTGGAAGAAGTGCAAACCCTCCTTGAACACCGGCCCAAACTCTAAGTAGGATGTTCGCGGACAGATGCTGTTTGAGAACGATAACATCAGAGGACAGGACAGCAAGTGGTTCACACTTGCACGGGAGCTAGGTTCTTTCGGCCAAAGTTGGTTGCAGAAAGGCATCTCCAAAGTTGGAGACTTATGGGATGATAGCCTGAACTGTTGGATGACGTCAGAGCAGTTGAAGAGCACTTTAGGTCAACTCCCACAGCAAGAAGAGCGTCTGCAAGCGATTCTGGATGCAATCCCTGTCTCGTGGAAGCTCCTGCTGGGCCCGGAGGGGGTGGATCCCTTTGGCACCTGGTACGAATGGGAAATCGGTGGTGCAGTATGGTACTGTAGGCTTGAGAGTTGGCCTGCAGACGGTTTAGGCAAATGCTGGCTTGAAACGTACAGAAGAGCTCTTCCCAATCAGCCTGTGCTTGAGAGGTACGAAATTCAGCTGAAATATGGCCTGTCAGACCTCAAGGAAGTCAGGGTGATTATGAGACCCCCCCCGCAGGAGGGCCTCCCCCTTGTCCCTTGCTTGGTTGGCAATGGGATCCCACTCTGCCAACTAAAGATCGACCCCGCAGATTGGGGTTGGCAGGTGGAAGGTGAAGTCATCAGAGGGCTGGAAAAACTGTCTGCATCTTTGATCTTGAAAAGAAGATCGCTGCCAGCCCCGCTGTGCACTAAGTTAGCAAACCGTTGGGTCAGAGAGGTGTCGGGATTATCTCCTCCCTCGGAATCAGAGCTCTCCAGATTGTGGGCACAACTGAAGGCACTCCCATCTAAAAAACTGGCGTCACTACTGGGGCTCCAGTCTCACCTGGCAGTCCCGACATCGCAATGGTTAAGAGATAAAGGAATGGACGTTAACTCCACATGTGACAGATGTCAGGCGGCGCAGGAGACGATGAGTCACTTGTGGTGGGAATGCCCGAAGTCACGGAAGTGGTGGGGTTGGTGGGAGAAGTATTGGCGGTGGATAACTGGGAACGACTCGCTAATTGATCAGAGATGGGTTCTATTGGGAGGGCTCCCCCAGTCTCAAAGCAACTGTGAGGGGTGGGGATATGTGGCACAAGTTGCCAGGGCAGCGATGCTATGGGTTATCTGGTTGGATTGAAACGGATTGACGTTCAAAGGGGAAGGGCTACCAGAGAGACAAGCTGAAGCACTGTTCAGATCGTTGGTAGTAAAAGCCATTTGGGCAGACTGGACCAGAAGGACAAATCAGGGGAAGCGACGAGAAGGGATTGCCTGGTTCCGGAACACTTGGGGCTCTTAACGACCGGTTGGCTTCAATCTCCATTGATGGGAGCCTGGTAATCAGTAGGTGGCTAGAGTACGGGGACTCTTAAGACATAGTCGTTTAGTAGGAGCCATTCAGGGGCCTGATGGGGCACGGTTGATGAATGGCCCACCCGCCCCAGTTGGTAACTGGGTAAGGAATGGTGGAGTAGAGGGTAGGTAGGAGCAGTTAGGCATTAATTTCCCGAACCAGGACACTCGGTTGAGGACCGGTTCT